CTGCTATCTTCACGTTGAGGTCGGAAACTTTTCAGACCACCCTCGTACACCCCACCAAGTTGTCTTCTATTTTTCTATCCCTATTTTTTTTTATCTATGACTAAGTTTACACGACAACTTAAAACCGGTGTAATTACTATCGTAGTTAGTAAACTCTTGAATCCGATTGAAGTATATTTCTAAATCTAAAAGAATATACCAATCGGATGCAAGAGTTTACTAAATATGGTTGTTACTAAACCGGTTTTAAGCTGCCGTGTAAACTTAGTCTATGATTTCTTATGCATTTTTTTCAAGGGAATTATGTTGCAAAATCTTTCCACGATTACCAGTTTTTTTATTAATGCCAATATTTCTTTCAGGACTAATAGAAACACAGCCACACGAGAAGATACTATAGAGACAACTAATGACAGTTAAGTACATTAATATATACTGAAACATTAATGAGTACAATTTTTTTATATCTACTCGCTATTGATTTCTTTTTTATAAATTTTTTTTCAATATTTTTCATTGGCACTATTTTTTATTCTTATACACACACATTCTACACATTCAGACACAAAAATACTCACATACCCATACAGCACAGAAGCTTGCAGCAACATTGCTACAGCGTTGCAAGATTACATATTGTAGTGCAATGTTGCAGAGATATTGCAGTATTATTAATTTGCAATATTACTTTAGCAATATTTTAGAAATATCCCTTATAGAAATATCATACTAAGAATCATTGATAATTACTTATTATCCAGTATTTTTAATACTGAAAATAAGTAATTATCAATGATTCTTAGTATGATATTTCTATAAGGGATGACGAATATAATATAATATTTTTTATTTATTTACTAGTTATTTTTGTTACTTATATTTCAAATTCAGTAATATTTCACATCAATAGTGTTTATAGAATAGTACTTAGAATAGTACTTGTTAGTGGTAGTCATTAATACTAGAATTTGTCTTATTATATATTTCTTAAGCTTCTTATACTGTTTTTT